GGTGGGACAGGCCCCCCTACTCTGAAGCTCCCAGCTCCAGAGACCCCAGGAAGGGCCGGCTCCTGCCTGTCCCATCCCTGCCCTGTCCTCAGCACTATGATCCCAAGTCCTCCAGAGCCCCAAAGCCTCCATCAGCCCTGGCTCGGGGGTGCCGTGTCCCATGGAGGGGACAGTGTCCAAGCCATGGCACAGAGCCAGGGGACGTGGAAGGACAGAAAACGCCACAGAAGCCAAGCCCTGGCCCTTGGGGACGCGCTGGTGGCAGCCCGGGGGCACCTCACCCAGAGTCACCTGGCAGCCGCGTGCATCCATGGGGGGGACAGGGGACGTGGGGACAGGGATGGTGACCCTGCAGTGTCCCCAAGCTGGCCGCGGCCGCCTCGCCCCCCCTCCTGCTCCGCTGGCCCCGGGGTCATGGGAAAGGCTGCGCGGAGCAGGGACGCAGCGAGGGCCATCCAGCGCCTGTCCCCTCCCGCAGCCGCCACCGCCGCGGGGACGGGGAGCACCGGGGGAACTGGGAAAGCGCGGATGCCACTGGGACCACCCCGTCCCCAGCGGGAGCCCGGCACCTACCAGATGCAGGAGTGCCTCCGGGACGGGCACCGGCTGCCCGGCAGCATCGTCCCGCTCCGGCAGCCCCGGTCCCTGTGGCGTGGCCGTCCCCGGCAGTGGCAGTGCCAGCCGGCACCGCGTCATGCCATCCCCGCAGCCCCTTGTTTTCCTGCCTCGCCTTCCCATCCCCGATGGTACCGGGGACACAAAGCCGCATTGTCCCTCCGACGGCCCCGCGGGTGATGCCCGCGTCTGTTCCCGGCCCCGTGCCACCACCTCTGACCCCGCTGCCACCGCAGGGGACAGCCCCGGGGGACACGAGCCCCCGCCGAGGGGCTGGTGCCGAATTAACCCCCCTCGTTTCGGCGCTAATGACCGAGCTGTGCCCGTGCCGGGCTGGGGGGGGCCGGGGCCGCTATAAATAGTTGCTGTTGCGGAGGGATGTGCTGAGCCCTACAGCGCTCACGCGGGTGGGGCCGGCACCCACCAGCACCCGGGGGGGGCACCCCAAAACCAACCCTACAGAACTCCGAGCCGGGGAGGGCAGGGGGGTGCCGCGGTGGGTCAGCCGGTGCCTTGATTTGGAGGGAAAAGCCCCCCTCCCTGCCCACCGGGCCACCCCACCGCGGGTCCCTGCCTGGCCATCGCTGCAATGAGCGTGTCCGTGCTCAGCCGCGCTCGTCCAGCGGCTCCCCCCTGCACGGCTCAGCCCCCGGCCATGTGGGGACACCCGCTGTCCCCTCCTCGTCCCCCCCGTCCCCGTGGGGTCACAGCACGGGGGGGGGGGGGGAGTCCCCTCCCCCCATCCTGGCAGCACAGCTTGGTGCCCCCCCCCCCCGGGGACCCGCCAGCGTCCCCCCCTTACCAGAGGGGATGCGCCACGGTGAAGCGCCGCTGCAGGCGGATGCTCTGGTTCATCAGGAGCTTCCTGAAGAGGACGGGGGAATTGCGGGGGGAACTGCGGGGGGAGGCTGCCGGAGAAGCCCCCGGCGAGGGGTGCGGGGTGGGCAGCATAGCCCGGCTCAGGGACCCCCGGCGCGGCCCCGGCGCGGCCCCGGCGCCCCCGGTGCGGAGCAGGAAGCGTGCGGCCGTCCCGGCCCCGGCGGCCCCGGGAAACTTTCCATCCCCCTCCCGCCCTGCGCCTGGGAAATTAAACAACTGTCTGGCTCCGGCAGCCGGCGCAGGGAGCGGGTCCCCCCCCGGTGTTCCTGGCGGCCCGGGCACGTGGCCCCTCGCTGGCCCGGTGCCACCGGCCACCCTGCTGTCTCCCCGAGGCGGCAGCTGCTCCCGAAAGGGCAGGGGTGCTCTGCCTGGGCACACGGAAAAAATGCCACACGGACCCCTCAGCGAGCCAGACGTACGGAGTGGACGTGCCACGGTGCCACCGAGGGGCGTGGGTAAGGCTGGAGCATCCCAAACCCACGGCGTGGATGTGCCACGGTGCCACCGAGGGACAGGGATGAGCCTGGAGTACCCCAGACACACGGTGTGGTCGTGCCATGGTGCTGTTGGTGCCACGGTGCCACCAAGGGACACGGCTGAGCCTGGAGCATCCCGGACTTGCAGTGTGGACATGCCACGGTGCCACCAAGGGACACGGCTGGAGCATCCCAGACACGTGGTGTGGTTGTGCCACGGTACCACCGAGGGACCAGTGAGAGCCAAACCCACCCCACTCTGTGGCCCAGCCCCTCCCTGGTGCAGTGCCAAGCCCCCTCCTGGGGCCGTTCCTGAGGGGAACAGGGAGCAGCAGGACAAGGTCTAGCTGGTGACAGTGGCACCGTGGGTGACCCACCAGCCTGGCCGTGGGCGCTGGCACCTGCCCAGCCTGATGCAGCAGGATGTGGATACCTGCTGTTCCCAGCGGCCACAAAAATATCCGGCAGCTGGCCGGGAGCCAGGGGGGACAACAACAGGGCCTCCCCTGCCACGGCAGGAGCAGTGGGGACCCCAAAACCCACCGGCTGGGGGGGTCACCCTCGCTTCCAAGGGACTGCAGGCACGACTGCGGGGACGTCAGGCCAGAGGGGCTGCTTGGACAGAGGGACATCAGGGCACGGGGGCGAGGGGGAAGAGCCCCCCCCGGGCTGGCTGGCAGCCAGCAGCCCCTGGACAGCCAGGACAGGACCGGCCACGGGACAGCAAGTCCCTGACCCCAGGACAGCCAGTCCCTGTCGGACTGTCGCTGTCCCCACGTGTCTGCAGGGGTGGATGACAAGTGACACCGGAGCCCTGACCCTCAGCTGTGCCAGCTCCATGCTGACCCTGCAAGCTGGGCTGGGAGAGGCACGGGATAGGGGGAATGGCCCAAAAATAGCCCTGCAACCACTGCGGGAGGGGCTGAGGTCATTTTGGGCAGAGCCAGGCCAACCCTGCGGTGGCACCGGCTGGGCCAGGGGATGGGGACAAGCAGGGGGTGAGGAGGATGAGGGCAGGGGTTGGGGGCAGGAATGGGTGGTGGGGACAGGGGGACAGGGGTGACAGGGGTGACGGGGACGGAGGGGATGGGCACAGTGTGGTGGGGACAGGGGTGTTGGGGACGGGGCGACAGGGGCAGATGGCGATCGGGACGGACATCCCGGGGCCGGTGACAGAGGGGTTTGTCCCCAGCCCACCGGCTGCTCTGCCGGTGCCGGTGCCCCGGTGCCGCTGTCCGCCCGTCGGTGCTGAACCCGGGAGCGTCCCCACCAGCAGCGCCTTGCCCGGTAACCCCTTCCCGGTGCCAGCGGGGGCCGGCATCACCTCCCCGCTCCCCGTCCCGCCCTTACCGGGGGGGCTCGGACTCGTCGCCGCTGCTCGGGCCGCTCTCCTCGATGGTGAAGACCACCCGGGCTCCCTCGGGCTCGGGGCCGCGGGCCGACTCCGCCAACCGGCAGCCCAGCGGCGGCAGCAGCGGGGTCCCGGAGAAACGCCGGCGGACGGCGCCCAGCGCGGCTCCCGGGCCCGACGGGGCGGCCTCGGCGGCGTCGCGGCAGCGCTGCGGGGACACGGGGCGGCGGTGAGGGGCGCGGGGAGCGGCACCGCGGAGCTCTGCGGGGGCACCGTCCGTGTCCGAGGGTCCCGTCCCGGGGCAGCCCCGTCCCGTCCCCCCCCTCCCGGTACCGGGCGCCGGTAGCGCGCTGGCGCCCCCTGGCGGGCACGGTGCGGCGCTGCATCCCGGGGGTACCGGGGTGATACCTGGGCGAGGGGGGGGGCACGGGGAAAGGCTGCAGCCGGTGCAACGGGTGCGGCTCGTCCCGCAGCGCACGGAGCCACAGGGACACCCCCTTCCTCCTCTTCCTCCCGCCGCCACCGGGAGGGAACCCCCCCTCCCCCGGTTCCCCCGGGACCCCGCCGGAAAAGCCCCCGGAGCCGGCGCGCGATTACGCAGAGGTGAATAATAATTAACCGCCCATTAAGGGGATAATTAACTCCAGCTCAGCGCCGCCAGCCCGGTTATTGCTGCCCGCGGGGCCGGCGCTGGGACGCCCGCACCGGGGACACCCCTCGCCCCCCTCCCGCGACACCCCCTCGCCCCCCGCGGTGCCCCCCGGTGCCGGTCTCACCTCCGCGCCGAGGAAGGGCAGCGCCGTCCGGCTCCGTCTCATCGCCGTCCCTGCGGGGGGAGCTCCGGGAGCTGCGGCCGGTGAGGGCTCGGGGGTGGGGACCACCCCCCCCCCCGGGGCTGGGGACACCCCGGGGACACCCCGGGACCGGGACACGTGGGTTTCTCCCCCCCCTTCCGTGATTTACGGGCGCCTGATCTTGGCCCCCACCTCGGGTTTTGGGGCCCCTCTTTCCCACTCCCGGTGCTCCAACGGGCTGGATGAGGACAGGGACACCGGGCCTGAGGCCACGGGGGTGGTCCCCCATCCCGTAGCACCCACCAAGGCTGTGAACCCACCGATGCCACCTTAATGATGGTGCCACCACGGGCACCCGCCCCCGTGAGGAACTGGGGCACACCGGTGCACCCACAGAGACGCCAGGACCGAGCCCCTCCACCCCCCGGCTGGCACCGGGAGCAGCCTCATCCCAATTCCCAGGGGATGCCGAGCCCCGGCACAGGGGTCCCCGCTGCCGCCAGCCCCCCGCCCTGGCCCGCAGCCCCTTTACCGGTGCCCGGTCGTCGCCGCCAGCCGCGGCCTCGGCCGAGTGCAGCGGAGCAGAAGGAAGGCGACGTGCGTGCCTGGCCGCTCGCTCCCTCCCATCCCACCTCGCCGGGGGGGCTGCGCGGCCCCCCCCAGCCCGGGCACCACCGCCCCGCACCCATCCCGCCGGCCTGGGAACACCCCGGGGCCTCCAGCCCGGAGCGGGGGGACCCCCGAAAGCGGTTGGGCCCTCCCCCGGGAGCGGGGGTTTTCCCCGGGCAGGGCACATGGCAGACGGGAAACCAGAGCTGAGCAGCAGCTTTTTTATTCAGCAGCGCGGAGGGAGCCCCGGGGGGGGCCGCGGCAAGGGGGGGGGGGTCACCTGGGTGTGGGGTGGGTGACAGGGGACTCCTCCACCTTGCTCTAGGGAAGAGAGAGAGAGTAGAATGAGCACCCACACCCTGGCACCCCCCAAGTCCTCCCCTCACCACCTCTGCCCCCCCACTCACCATGGGCACCTCGTCCAGGTGGTGGAAGCGGGGGGTCCCACGGGGGGTCCCGCGCCGGCACAGCCGCACCAGCAGCACCGCTGTGCCCCCCACCAGCACACAGACGAAGAGGCAGATGATGACAACCACGCCAGAGCTCAGCTGCTGCTCTGTGGGGGCGAGACGGGCACCCCATTACCCCCCTCAGCACTGCCAAGCCTTGTGCACCTTGAGAGGGGGCTCAAGACTGGCTCCAGTCCCCCCCTCCACCATCAGAAATCTGGTTTCTGTGTCACCCCCACCCGTGGGGGACCAGCCCGGGGCCCTCCCCCCCCCCCCCCCCCTGGGGCCCTGTGACAGAGGCTGGAGGAGAAAAGGGGAGCCCTCAACACCTCCCAAGGAGGCTGGAGCAGCCTGGGGGGCTCTGGGCTCACCCGCACCCCTGAGCCCCCCTGTGAGCACAGTCCCAAGTGGGGGGTCTTAGGGGACCCCAGGGCTGCTGCCGTGCCCATACCCAGGTCACCTGCCTGCCCAGTGCCCCCCAGCCTGGCTCTCACCTGAGCTGCTGGCCACGATGCCGGTGGCCGGTGTCGTTCTGGGGCTGGTGACCAAGGTGCCCAGGGCTCACAGTGGGTGTGGTGGAGTTGGGAGCAGGAGTGGGCCCAGAGGGCTTGGGTGAGGATGGGGCTGGCACTGCCGTCGAGTTGGGTGGATGCCCCGTGGATCTGGGCACACTTGGGTGGGATGGAGTCGGTGCCGTGGACGTGTTGGATGGAGGTGCTGCTGATCCCAGTGTCCTGGGTGAAGATGGTTCCATCGTGGTGATATTGGATGGAGATACTGGAGGTGCTGCTGATCCCGATGTCTTGGATGGAATCAGTGCCGTGGTGGTGTTGGATGGAGATGCTGGAGGTGCTGTTGATCCCAGTGTCCTGGATGGAGT